ACAATTTTTTTACATAGCTAAATAAGATAGAAAAAGCTTTGATGATGTACAAGGCATATTGACTAACTATCTATTTTTACTAATTAGAAATATATAACATTATTAATTAGTTGTCTCCGAAGGGATAATATAGAGTTTCAAACTTTACACTTCATCTTGGGAGTCTTGATTCCAATTTTTAAAACAAGGTGATGAGATTTACCAGATGTGATAACTCAAAATAGCTATATATTGGAAACTTCGCCATTCAACTTAAATTGATTTTTTACTTAACTCAAACTTTCTAATAAGGCACACAATTGTGTAATGGAAACAAAAAAAAAAGAAAAAGAGAAAAGAGAAAAGAATATGTCATGATTCATGATCTCTTTGATTATTATCACATGTTTTAAAATAATACTTATTTTACCTAATGAAAACTATTTTTATTTATCTCTATATATCCATGAGAGGTGTGAGGGATATTAGTATCTTACAACTTTGGGTTGTCATGAACATAATCATTAAAGCTTAATTAAGTCGTGGTTAAAAGGGATTCTCACCTGTGGTTATAAATAAAGCAATTTGGATTCCTATTGAAAAGGAGCAAAGATTAGTTTAAAGCAAGGAATAAGGAATAAACAAAAGCCACCAGCAAATTGGAGATGAAATGAAAAACATACTATCATCAACATGTCCAAAGAAATGATCTTGTTGTAGAATGCCGTGAGTAAAAAACATTCGCAAAGTGTAAAGATACTCTGAAAGGATAAACCTCAGCCCCAGTATCTGTGTCAGGAATGAAAAATTAGGTGAGAAATACATTGAAAACATTCACTTAAAAGATTACAAATATTTAAAAAAAAAATCTCATTTTAAGGATCCAATATTTACCAAATATTTCAGTTTAATATCAAAATATTTATTTACTTTTTTAAATTAATCTATTTTGTTCATTTTTTAAAAATAATAAATAGTTAATAATTACTATTGATGAAATTAGTTGTTGTCTCATGATAATAACCTTAAACAAATATAGAAATATAGATTTGTATAGTTAGTTCTATATAGAGCCGCAGATAGTTAGGCAAAGTTCTATATAGAGCCTTCTGTCACAAGGAAAATGCTTCTATCCCACATCAGATAAGAACGGGAGGTCCTGAGCTCCTTATAAACGGGTGTGCTGCACACCCCT